GGAGAGGAGGCTGGGGGTGTGGGCTGAATGCCTGTGGCCACCGGGATTCTGTCACAGCCACAGCTGGGAGAGTGAGCAGTGCATAGCCAGGGCCCATCCCTTCCCGGGCTGCTCTCAGCCTCCTCCTCCTCCTGCTGGCTGCACCTGTCAGCGCAGGAACTGCTTGACCTTTGTCCTGCAGAGGAAGGAGGCTGGCGTGTCACAGGAGCGCCTTCCCTTGGTTGCGTGGGGCCGCCGGGCTCAGCCCGAGATGATGTCTGGTCTTGTCCACTGGCGCCCTGAAGCCTTCCTGCGTGACAGCTACCATCACACATCCTCTGTTCCTCATACCGATCTAAGCACTACCTGTGCCCCACAGGATGTGGGCCCGGGCACGCCGCGATATCTTCATCACCCCGGCCCCAGGGAGCCCACAGCCTGCAAACTGACCATATGAGGCTCCGCGTGCCCCTTGACGTTCGTCACCTCATTGAACATCAACCCTCTGAGGCAGGGCTTATCACTGCCATCTTATGGGTGAGAAAACCGAGACTCAGAGGAGCTGAGTATGTTGCCCAAGTGGCAGGGCCAGGTCTGTCTTCTGCCTCTCAAGCCTGGCTCTTCCATCGCCGTCATTCATGTGGTGGAGGGTCACGTCGGCCAGTCCATCCCAGGAATCTCTGCAGAAGGGGTCGGGGAAGGGAGGTCTTCAGAGGCTGGGCAATGGGAGGGCTTCCCCTGCGAGAAAGAGGTTGGGGGTGAGGGGCAGAGAGAGAGGAGAGAGGAATCCCAGCGAGCTGAGCTGGGCCTGGGGTGGCCATGCAGGGCACCGGTGGAGCCTGTGGGGACTGCCTCCTGTCAGGACACCTGGGTTCAGTCCCACGTCCCCTCCTCCCCCACTGGGTACATCGCTCTACCTCTGAGTCACCTCCACTCATCTATATGGATGCAAATTAGCAAAAGGCGCCCCTTCCCCAGGACTCCTGACCAGCATCCGCTGGAAAGTTGTCATGACAGATATGCCCATTGCGGGAACCATGATGGAAGTGGCACTTTTCAGTGCTGGGCTCCACAGCTGGCTCAGCCATACATGGGGCCCTTCTCTGAGGTGCAGTGTCTTCATTTGCTCTCCGCTGGGATAACTGTCCATAAATAAGTACCCCGGCGTCGTACCGACTGTGAGGGGTGACGGGGGCCCGTGGATCCGCTGCCGCTCCTCTGGCTGCTCAGCCCGGAGCAGGGCCGGGCTGGCTCATTAATGTGAGCAGCATCCCCGGCCTCCCTGCGCCGCCCTGACAAGGACCATTAGTGCCGTTGGAGCCTCTTTGTCAGTGAGCTGCTCCCCGCCCCCCACTTCCTCCTGCCAGTTCCTTGCCTTCTTCTCCCCCTTCCTCCAGCCCCTGCCATTCAGTTTTTTCCTCTAATTGTTCTTAGAATGACCCTGTCTGTGCCCCTCCCCCACCTGCCCCCTGTGTTGGTGCCTCTCTATCCCCATCTGCAGGCTCCCTGTGGCCATGGGGCCTCTGGCTTCCAGTTCCTAGGACGGGTTTCCCTAGGTGCCCCCAACCCTAGCTCATGCCTGATAATGGGGTTCCTAGATTCCTGTTGCTTAGGCCCTGCTTCCTTCCGTGTCATGCTCTGGGTGCCTCACACATCTGCCAGCTCTAATCTTGCCGCTCTGGCTGGTTCCCAGGGGCAGGGCAGGGCAGCCCCTCATTCGTGCCCTGTCCTCCCTGCCCCACTCTCAGGATCTAGCCAAGTGAGGACAGTGACCCTTAGTGGACAAGACGCCTGCCTGCCTGTCATGGACCCTCCCGACACCTGTGGTCTCCCTGGCCACCTGTCAGCATCGCCCCGGGTCCTACATCACAGCTCATCTCAGGACACCTCCCAACACCCGTGACACTCCCTGTCCCTGCGGCCAGCCCCCTGGTCCCACCAGCTGTGGTCCCCTAGCCTGCTCGCCTGGGACAGGACCCATCACAGGCCGAGGCTCAGCTCTCCCCGGGGCCCCTCCGAGAACCTCATCACCTGCTCAGAGGCACGGCGGCCTTGTCCCACTGAGGTAGAGCGATCTCTGGACAGGTGGCCACTCGCCACTGCCGGCTCAGGGTCCGCAGAAGTCTAAGGCTCCTCTGTGGGGGGCCCCAGTGAGATCTCTCCCGGGAGGGCGTACTCACTGGGGAGAGGAGAAAGGTTGTTTTCTCGCCTTCTGTTTCATTATCACCTCTCTCTTAAGTTCCCACTCACCCTGGGAATATGAAGGCCATCCAGATTTTCAAGGCGCTCACAGTACAACAAGGAGACCCACACTCAGAGAGACAGTAAATAGAACTGCAGGGCGTGTGTCGGAACGGACATGGGTGCAAGGGTAATGGGAACGCTGAGGAGCGGGAGTCGCCCCTGTGAGGAACGGTGGGTGATTCGGTGTGTGGCATGTAGAGTGCACATGTGGGGCAGAGGTGGGGCTGGGATGCAAGGGGCGGGGGGCTGGGGGGCTCAGGCCCGTGGGACTCTCGAGCTGGAGCAGGACGTCACCAAGGTGGACCTGCCTTAGGAGACCCGGATGTTGAAGTTGGCCTGGGACCTGCCGCTGCCCTCTGCAGGAAATGGGTGCAAATGAGTTTTTATCTGTGAGCAAATAAGAAATGGAGGTAGCAAGAGGGATTCTTAGAAGGATGTGGAGGGAAGGAGGCTGGACCCGCCGGGTGGGCGTGCTGGCTCCGTTGTGCCAGTGTGGGCCAGCCCCTCTGAGCCAGGGCCCAGACGCAGAAAGCAGGGCTGAAATTGGGCCCTTCTCTGCTCCCCTAGACTGTCCCAGCCAGTCTCTGGTGGTGGCTGCTGGGGTTCCATCGCTCCAGAAAGGCACATGGCTTGCCTGCCCCTGCCAGGTTCCTCCATTCCTGAGCAAGGCTGGGCCTCGCTGGGCCTGGAACTGGGGCTCATGCCATTCTGTGTCTGGGTGGGGCAGACACCAGTGGCCTACTCTCTGAGAAGCCACCCCCTCCACCTCCTTCAGCGTGGCGTCATCATCACCTCTCCATTTATGTTCCAAGTGGAGGAGGCTGCTTTGTCACCCACCTCCTGCCCGGGAAGTGTGCATAGTCACGACTCGCCAGGGTTTGAGAGCCTTCCCCGTGTGCTGGGGAGAGGCAGCACGTACTTACAGATGCGCCCAGAACACTGACTGCTTGCCAGCGCCGAGCGCCTGAGTTGTATTATCTCATTTAATTCTCACATCGACCCCACGGATAAGGACTATGGTCCTCTTGTCACAGAGCGGGGAACTGAGGCAAGGCTGCGTCGGCTTGCACTGCCCAGGTTATACAGCTAGTGAGTGGTGGGCAGGGAATCTGGCTCCGCTGTGCTGTCTGCTGACAGTGTAGGATGGCAGTATCCTGGGCAGCGAGTGAACGCTCCCTCTTCTTCTCCTGTCACCAATCCTGAGGGAGTGGAGGCAGGCTCAGGCCCTGTCCTCGCAGAACCCGAGGCGACACAGAGTTGTCATGGGGAGACACAGTCACATGGGCAGATCACAGTGTACAGAAGGCGAGTTTAAAGAGGTTCCCTCGCCCTAACCGGTTTGGCTCAGTGGACAGAGCGTCGGCCTGCAGACTGAAGGGTCCCAGGTTCGATTCCGGTCAAGGGCATGTACCTTGGTTGTGGGCACATCCTCAGTAGGGAGTGTGCAGGAGGCAGCTGATCGATGTTTCTCTCTCATCAATGTTTCTAACTCTCTATCCCTCTCCCTTTCTCTCTGTGAAAAATCAATAAAATATATTAAAAAATAAAAAAATAAATAAAGAGGTTCCCCGATGCTGTGGGAGCCCCGAGGAGGGAGCATGGTGGCAGGGGCAAAGGCCAGGAAGGCTTCCCAGAGGAGGTGACATTTGAGCGGACTTGAAAGGTAAATGGGAATGTGAGGTGGCCACACCCAGAGTGAGGGAACTGGCAGGGGATATGAAGCGGGAGAGGTGAGGGTGGGGAGCACCCCCAGAGGGAACCCCTGCTTGGCTAAGCAGTCAGGAGCCATGAAGAAAGTAAGTGGGATTAGAACTGTAGCCCAGGGCTGGCTGTGAGGTGAGCTGCACGGAGCCTGGCAAAGGCCTCCTGACAGTGCCCGCGCTAGAGATTGCCCAGCGGCTGCAAACCCTCCGGCCCATCGAGGGGGTGGTCTTGGTTCTCTCCTGCACTGACTTCCCCTCCAGGGCCGTGGGTTGGTTCTGATGACCTCAGCAGTTTCCCAGACAGCAGGATGTCCAAGCTTGCTGTGCTTCTGAGATAAGGGGGCGGATGGAAGCAAGGATTAAACCCGGGGCCCAGCGGAAGCGGCTGCAGACTGAGCAGCAGCCGTGTGGGTCCGCAGCCCCCACCCTCCGCATCCCCACTCCTACAGGAGACAGAGGGGTGGCCTGGCCCAGCCTTGAGGGGCCAGTGCCTGGTGGGGGGCCGCAGAACCCTGCATTTCCTCAAGCCCAGAGTCGGGAGGGGGGGGGGCTTTAATCCTCTGATAACTGGCTGTGTGACTTAGGCAATCGCTTTGCCTCTCTGGGCTTCAGCGTTTAGTCGGTAGTTCAGAGCGGAGGTGGGGAAGAACAATGCCTGCTCTGTAGGCCTGTGTGAGGAGGGCAGGAGATGAAGACTGTGACCGATCACAGACTGCAGGTCACCATGCCAGCGGGAAGGCCCCGGGCAGATGTGGCCTTTGCTCCTGGGGCCACTGCCAGAGCCAAGAGACTGGTGCACGCTGGCAAGGCCTCAGGCTGCGGCCATAGGGCCCCCCTCGGGGGTGGAGCCCCACCCTGCTCCCAGCTCCCCCCCAGTTTGTGCCTCAGGCTCTGCAATGTTGCACAGGACACTTCCCCCCTCTGAGCCTCAGGCCCCTACCACTGTGGAGAGGGCACCAATCCCTGCCTGGCAGGTGTGGCTGCAGAGGGGGAGAAGGAGGGCACATTCAGGCAGGCGGCCAGCTGGGCCAACCCGTGACCTCACCTGACCCCTCTCCTGCTCTGCTCCTCCAGTGGGAACGCCTCTGGTTCCTGCTCCTCACCGTCACCTTCGGCCTCACACTCACCTGGCTCTACTTCTGGTGGGAAGTCCACAATGACTACAATGAATTCAACTGGTGAGTGGGGACAGGGGGTGGGGACGAGGCCTGGGTCCCGGGCATCCAGTGGCTGAGACTGGGGGGTGGTGGTGGTGGTGGTGGAGTTTGAGTCTCTCTCTCAGGCTGGCCCTCAGAGCTCTGCCTCCAACTCTGTGCTGCTTTGGGGCAGGGGTCTCTGGAAAGACAAAGCCCAGGGGGAACTGAGACCAGCTGGGGGCGGGGGATGGGGAGGGAACTCCTTCCTGGTGCTATTTTGGAAAATAAGAATGGCCTCATGCAGGGCTCAGCAGGGGGCTGGGGCCTCTGGCCGTGTTTGTAGATGAGGACTCCAAGGCCAGAGATACAATGGCCTCAGCAGAGGAGGTGGCCCTGGCACCACCTCCTCATCCCCCACCACCCCCTCTTAACTCCTTGATTAGGGCCTTGGGCAGGGCTGGCAAATTTTATGTTTTTGGGAAACCTCAGCTAAGGCCCCTTTTTTTGCCCCCCCCCCAAACTTTTCCCCCCCCCCCCCCCCCCCGCCTCCATTGCCTGTCTTTGTCAAATAGTGAAGGGAGGAGGGCAGGGACCCTGAGTTCTAGTGGGAACTCCTTCAGGCCCAAGTTCACACAATCAGTTGGGGGCAGAGTTGAGGCTGGAAAGCCAGACCCCTCCTGACCCCTCACCCTTCCCCCCGCAGCCCCCCTTTCAGTGCTGTCTCTTCCTTTTGGTCAGAAGTTCAGCTCAGTGCAACTGTGAGCCAGTCTCTGGTCCACTCTGAGCCTCAGTGTCCTCTTCTGTAAAATGGGGTAGCTCTGACCTCATCAGGTCTTTCTGAGGGTGAAATGAGATGACGGACTTGAGAGGGCTCAAAGCTCTACCTCACCCTGAGGGTCCTTTCCTGGGAGGCCCATTCTCTAGCTGGAAGGGGCCATGATGTTAGAATTGGGGACTTCTAGGGCTGCGGACTTCTGATGGGCCATGGTTCTGGGATTCCATGATGATCCTAAGGTTCTGTTCGTGGAGTTGGGCATCCCCTCCCCTCTGCGTGGCCCTAGGTCGCGCCTCCATTATTAACGAGCACAATAAAGGGTGTGCGCTGTCCCGCCCCAGCCGGGCAAGACGAGCCCCAGCCCCAGCTGAGTCCCCGAGTGGCCTCTGGCCTTTATTAAATGCCATAAATCAGTTACTCATCCGTGTAGGCATCACAGCGCCGGCACTGTGCTGGGCGTATAGGAACGTTCCCTGCTGGCCCCCGCTGCAGACCGTGGGCAGTTCTGCTGAACCAGAGGCTGGCTGGCTACCTGGAAAACCACCGGGTCCATCCCCTCATGTTCAGGTGGGGAACCTAAGGCCCAGAAAGGGGCAGGACTCACCCGTGGCCACCCAACCACTTCGTACCAAAAAGTCATCCCGAGGACAGTCTAAGGAGACTGGGGCTCAGAGAGGTTACGCAGCCTTCCCGGAGTCACACAGTGAAACGCAGACAGCTCTAGGACAGCTCGAACTTCTGGCTTTGGTTCGAGCCTGGCTGACTGTCTCATGCCGTCTACAGAGTCACCGCCTCTTCCCAGAGAGTGAGCTCCCTGTCACGGGGTGGCTCAAGCAGAGGATGGTGCCTGCCCATCGGGAGGCTGCCTGGGACTTAGGGGTGGCCTGAACACCTGCCTGTCACCTCGGTTTCTTGACGTCGGGGCTGGGATTCGGGGGAGCCTGGCCGGGGCCTTGTGGTCTCTGGAGAAGGTGTGAGTGAGACCCAGGCGGTCAGGGCTGGATGACAAGAGCCAGGGAGGGGCTTCGGGGCTGTTGCTGCCCAGGAGGGCTCCCTGGCGAGTGAGAGACACGTGGAGCCAGGGCATTTGGCAGAAGTCGTTACCAGGAGCGGGTCCCACCCTCTCTGGGCCTCAGGTTCCCCATCTATACGGTAGAAGAGTGCACTCCGTGACCTTCCAGGTGGTAGATTTTCCTCTGGAATCAGAGGGCGAGGGCCAGGGAAGAGCCGGAAACAGGTGCCTTAACAAGTTTATAGCCTTTAGCCCGGTAACTCCTTTTGTACAGGAGTCTACCCTAAGTAAATAATTACCAGTACAGAAAGATACGTGCAAAATTTTCTTTTTTGTGTTAATTTATAATAGCGAATAATTGGAAATGATTAATTGCCATTAGTGGGAGGTTGGCTACATATGGTGCATTTATTCAACAGAAGACTACGGGGCTGTTGAAAATCACATTTCCTCGGATTTGTACTGACCTCAGTAAATGTGTTAATTAGAAGAGAATTGATTACTTATCACATGCCCACCCCTCAACCCTCAAATTCATCCTCAGGAAGTCCTTTGAAGGGCATTTGATCAATTCTAAGGCCCCTTATTTTCACATTCTAGCACTGAAATAGAAATGAGTGTCACAACTGATGGCATTTTAGGATCAGTGGAGCCTGTCACCTCCACAGGGACCTGCAAGCCAGTAAGAGGCAGAGTGGGCATTTGAATCCGAGTGTACTTCCCTCCAAAGCCAAACTCTGACCACTAGGCTATACTAGCGGGTCCCAGCTTTGCTGTTTATGCAAATCTATAAGCATAGGCGGGAATCCGCTGGAAGAAAAGTCAGCCCCGTCTGGGGAATGTTTATGTCTGGGCAGTAGAACTACGGAGATTGTTGTTCTCTCCTTTATGCGCTTGGCATGCCCAGGCTCCGCCACGGGCCCTCGACAGGCCTGGCTGATGATGGAGAGACAATAGCATCATTGCGGAGTGGGCAGGGCCTGCCCCTGAGCCTGGCCAGCCCGAGGCAAGGCCCTGGCTCCTGGTGGAGGTCTGACCCCGGCCCCCTCTCCTCCTGCAGGTACCTCTACAACCGCCTGGGCTACTGGAGTGACTGGTCCGTGCCCATCCTCATGACCGCAGCCACCGCCTTCACCTACATCGCGGGCCTCCTGGTACGCGGGGCTGGCCCTGCTCCGGGGAGGGGCGGCATGGCCTGTGCAGGGCTGATGGAGGGGCCTGCCCAGGCTGAGGAGGGAAGCTGGCTTTCCCCTTCTCTCAGGGGCTTGGCTCCTTCAAGGTGGGAGGTCGCCTTGCTTCTACCCCATCCTGCAGTGTTCCCCCCAACCACACCCCCCCCACCTTGGGGGGAGGCATCTGCTCTTAGGAGCCGCTGCAGACTTCCTCTTCCCGGAACTTCTGCTTTGGTTCCTGCGCCCAGAGCCCTATTCCCTCAGACTCCGGTCAATCCCTTTGTTGGATGGGGGGCTCCTTGGGGCCTGGAACTCCTACAACATGAACCGAGCGGTCCCAGGGCAGCGGGGCCCAGAGAGAAATCCTAGGGGAGGAGGAGGAGGAGCGGGAGGCCTGGAAGAATTTGGGAGGAGGCCAGGCGTGGGCTGGGCTGGGCATTCCCATCGCCTGCGGGGAGGGTTTGTTGACTTTTCTGAGCCAAACCCAGAGCTGAGTGGGGAGAAGTGTGTCTGGGAATTGGCGGAAACCTTTGAGCCACACGTGGAACCTGACGGCCGCCCTGTGGCCCCTCCTCAGGTCCTGGCGCTGTGTCACATCGCCGTGGGGCAGCAGATGAACCTGCACTGGCTGCACAAGGTAGGGGCTCCTCCGCGAGGGGGGAGGAGGCCGGCGCATCGCCCCTCCTCGGGGTCCCGGTTACAATTGTTCTGATAGCTCACACTCCGTACTCTCTCTGTGCCCAGCACTGTCCTCCCGGCCTGGCCTGTTTGAACTCATTTAACTCTCACAGTAGCCCTATGTTGTAGGTACTGTTATCCTATTTTGCAGCTGGAAACACTGAGGTACAAAGCGGTTAAGTAAGTTGCCCAAGGTCTCCCACTTCGTCAGTGGAGGATCCAGGGTCCTCGCCCCGTAGCCGCGCAGGGAGCCAGCACGGGGTCCCATGGGTTGGGCTCCACCTCGGTCGCACCCTCTCCTCATTCCGCAATGAGCTCATCCTGAAACTGACCCAGTCGTGTTATTCCCAGCTTAGCGTCCTTTCCACCACTCCATTGCTCCCAGGCGGACCCCCCACCCCGCCCAGCATGATGGCCCCCATGACTTGGCCCTGCTGAGGTCTCCCAACTGCGGTCATGGGTCCCTCACCCCCAGCTCTGGATGGGACGTCTCGGGCCCTGCCAGCACGGCTGCCTCTCCTCTACTTTACCTCCTCGCTCTCACCTCCCTCTGTCTCCCTCCGGCCCTTCCTTGGTTCTCCACCCCCTGCCCAAGATGCTTGGACTCCCCAGCCCCTGCAGGGCCCGCCCACCACCACAGCCTGCAGGTCCGAGTTGTCCGGTTCCCTCTGGCGCCCTGACCCCGGCCCTCCCCAGTCTGGGAGCTTCTTGCAGACCAGGACTGGCTTTGCCCATCTCTGTCCCTAGCGCCTCACTGGGTGCTGGCCCAGCGCAGGGAGGCTTCGGAGAATCAGAGCCTCGGCCCTCTTGCTGCTCGTCGCCAGCACAGTGCTGAGTGGGCTTGCCTGACACCTGCTCTTCTTGAGGCCCCAGGGGTCTCAGGGGTGGCACAAAACTGACTGAGAGAGAGAGCCCTTTCCTCGCAGGAGCACCTGGGCCGTGGAGGGAGGGCTCGGCTGTCTCTCTATTCCCAGAGTGGCCATGCCATTTAGGAAGGGGCAGACATGTCTGGCAATAACCATGAGCCCATGGATGGGTCCAGAGTGACTCTGAAGGGAAGGGCTTCCTTCCCGCTAGAAGAGTGATGTGGAGCAGGAGCTGGGAGGAAGACATAGTGAGTCCGAATTGGGCTGTGTAGGGGGAGGTGCCTGAGGGCATCCGGGAGGCCTTGGAGATCAGGAGCTGGGGAGCCAGACTGGGGACTGGGGTCCTGGAGGGTGAAGAGCAGCCAGCAGCCCCGGGGTCCCACCTCCGCCTGCTTGTCACTCTACCCGGAGGCCTCCTCTGGGCTTGGGAAGTCCCCTCTGTGCGGCACTTTTATCTCCCGGCTGCAAAGCTGACACTTGAAAGAACCGCAGCAGATGGCACCGGGGTGGGGCTGGCTCACTCCGCGGTCACCTCCTCTAGTCACGGCTGGTCCTCAGCAGGTCACACCGGCTCGGTCCTGGTGGAGAGGCCTCCGGAGGCGCGGAGCCGGCAGGGGCGCAGGTCACTGCTTGGATTCTTCTCCTGGGCGGGGGTCAGATCCCTTCATCTGCACGGAGCCAGCTCCGGTGCCAGCCCTGACTTCCTGCCCCTCTGCCCCCTCCCGTGAGCTCTCAGCATGAGGAAGGTCCAGCCGGAGCTGATGCACAGCTGGACCCGTTGCACCAGGAGGGAGGCAGCTCCCTGGGGCTCAGAGTTTTCAAGTAGGTGCTGGACACGCTCCTGTTCTGTTTCCAACATTCTACCATTTGAGTAGGAGACGCGAAGGAGTCCTTGTCCTTTTGTTGTTTTAACCAATTTTTGACCATCTGATACATTGACATGGTTCAAAATTAGGTACAAAAAAGTACACAATGTCAGTCTCCCTACTATCTCTCCAAAGTATTGTAAGCATATACACATATTCATATACTAGTACACTTCCTTTTTCCTTTTCTTTACACACAAGCCTACTATACCCTCCATTTCTTACGTTAACACAACTCTCGGAGCTCCTTCCTCTCAGGCCATTGAGAACTTCCATTGTTGTCCAGCCCCTGCTCCTGTCCCCGTGTTTAACCCTGAGTCCCAAGGTATCTAGTCAGCCCCCTGATGACATCCCAGTTGCTTTTTAAATATATGTTTATAATATATATATTTTTTATAATATATATATTTTTATTTCAGAGAGGAAGGGAAAGGGAGAGAGATATAGAAACATCAATGATGAGAGAGGACCATCGATCGGCTGCCTCCTGCACACCCCCTACTGGGGATCGAGCCCACAACCAGGGCATGTGCCCTGACCTAGAATGGAACCGTGACCTCCTGGTTCATAGGTCAATGCTCAACCACTGAACCACACTGGCCGGGCCCCAGTTGCTCTTAATTCATTGCCAGGACCTTGTGATCTGGGTGGGGAATTCTAGAGTATGCTTTTGTGACTGTGATAGTTCTTGTCAAATCGCCTCCTTGCCAAGGGCCACCAGTCCATGCTCCCTCGGCAAGCTATGGTTTGCTTATCCAATCGCCCTTGCCCATGAAGTGTTCGAAGATGTCTCGGCTTGAGCCCACTAGTGGGTGAGCCTAGCCCCTCGGTGTCATTTTGATTTGCATTTCCCAGATGATGCGTTAGATGCAGCATCTCTCGTGTGCTTGAGTCACTTGCATGCTCTTTTCCGTAAGCTGTCTCTTCATATCCTTTGCCTTTTTGCTACAGGATTTGCTTTTTGCTTATTAATTTGCAGGAGTGCTTTATAGATCCCGAAAACCCGCCCTTTGGCTGATGAGCTGCAATAACTCTTCCTCGTGTGTCACTCCGCCTCTGACTTTGCTTGCTGTGGTTTTGCCGTGGGAATTTTTTACTCTTAAGGATGTGACTCTGTCTTCTCTTTATATGGCTCCTGGCTTTTGTGTCAGAGTCTTTCCCACCCCAAGATTATAACAATGTTCTCCGTGGCATTATTTGATAATTGCATGTTTCTACTTTTAATAACATTTAAAATTTTAACATTCTGGAAGTTACTTTCGGGTATAGGATGGTCTTACTTTCTTCTTCTTAGATGGTTTCCCCGTTCCTATCTATTGAGAAATCTATCCTTTCCCTTCTAATTGGAGATGCCACTTTTACCATATGCTGATTTTTTTTTTTAATCCCACCCAAGGATATTGCTCCATTGATTTTTAGAGAGAGTGGAAGGGAGGGGGAGAGACAGAGAGAGAGGTGCATCGATGTGAGAGAGACACATCGATGGATTGCCTCCCGCACGCAGCCCCAGGGCTGGGGATAGAGCCTGCAACGGAGGTACGTGTCCTTGACCGGAATTGGACCCAGGACCCTTCAGTCTGCAGGCTGACCCTCTCTCCACTGAGCCAAACCAACTAGGGCAGATGCTGATTTTTAAAATCTATTTAGATCTGTTTTTGAGCTTTTTATTTACTCTCGTTTATCTCTCTGCTCTTATATCAGCATCCAACTGCTTTAAATACTACAGCTTTACACTGTGTTTTAATCGAGATCTTTATTTTGAGAGTCCCTGGTTCCCTCAAGTCCTGAGCAGGGGAGGGCTGGGGAGTGGGTGCCAGGACGTGCCAGGCACTGTGCTCATCGTCACAGCCACGGCCGTCACTGATTGGGCACTCACTCTGTGTGTCGGGCACGTGCCACACAGTATCGCATGTTCTCCTCGTCATCATCCTGTTCGCCTGATGTTCGGCCCACTTTCAGAAATTACACCACTCGCAGGTAGTGAGCATTTGCTAATTTAGTGCCAACCACTGTGCTAGGCACCTCCCTTGTACTTTCTCGTTTATCTTCCCCAGGACCCATGGGGTCCGCACTCGCTCTCCCCGTTTCACAGCCCAGGAGCCCTGCTCCGAGAGGCCCACCTCCCCCTTCGGCAGCAGAGCTGGGTTGTGCTGGTGGATGTATCCAGTGTGTCCCTGAGCCCCGGCCAACCAGCTGCTACCGAACCCAGATTCCAGCCCGCCCCCCCTGCCCCCAGGAGGCCAACTTGTGGCACCTTTGCGAGGCAGGGCTCCCACTCCTCTTGGGTGCCAGCACCCAGCAACGCTCACTGAACAAATGGATGCAGCTCCCGTGTCCCTATCCTTCCCACTGTCCTCACACACCACAGTCTCACCAGCACGGAGACCAAAGGCCGGTTCTCAGGACAGGGGCCGCCTCTGGGCTTCTGGGGGGCTTCTCCCTCCCAGTCAGGTGGGAGGAATGGCGGTCCCGCTGCTGGGATTCAGTGCTGTTCTTGTGGCTTAAGGGCACGTGTGGGGGAGTCCCTCAGTGGGCATTGCAGCCATGCTGCTGTGCACAGTGGTGCCACCACAGCAACGGCAAAACTCATCATCAAAGTTTTAATTGCATGAGGGTTGTGGGGAATTTGTTTAATTTCCACTAGCAATTACACGTTGCCATAAGGTGCTCTCAGCAACGACCCTTCAGAGACGCTGGCTGTGCCCAGCGCCTGCCTGGCGGGGCAGCGGGGGGCAGGCGCCTGCGCAGTGAGGGAGCTCTCAGGGGTGGTTACACTGGGCCTCCCGCACTGCAGCACGACCTCTGACCCAGGCAGAATGGGGTTTGGGTCCAGATCCACCCGCTCGACACTACCCGACCAAGCAAACCCTATGGTCTCTCACCCCAGTTTCTCTGTATAAAATGAAGATAGTGCCTCACCTGGGACGTTAGGAGAATAAACACGAGGAAAACCGGGGACCTCTTCCCCTTCCCATCTCCCCAGGCAGGCAGGCCAGTGGCTGGAGGCCCCGCCCGGCTCAGCCTTATTGCTGCTTCTTATTGGAACATTTGTTTCCAGCCTGATGGGCTGGCATGACAAACCCGCAAAGGAAAACTTCATCCCGGGCCGGAACGAGATGGATCTGCCCGCCTCTGCCCTCACCACCTAGAAACCCATTCAGAGCTTGTTCGGGCTGGAGGGTGGTCAGAGCACTGCTGAGAGGGGCTAGACTGGCCCTGCAGGAAGAGAGAGGGGGGAGGGCCGCTGGCCGGCAGAGAGGACGGCCTGCCTCAGGCCTGAGCACAGCGGGGGCAGGGGGTGGTGGCCTGGCTGCCTGGCCCCTTAGAGAGAGCAGGGTAGGCTGTGGGTAGAGGTGTCACCTGGGCACTACCTGGCCTGCCTGGCCTGCAGGGAGGTGTGCAGAGTGAGTGCCAGGGCTTGGGGGGGGGGGCATGTCTCTGGAGACTAAAGTAGCCAGACACCAGACTTCGCTTAGTTTGGGGGAGCATCTGATGTGTATGAGATGGCCCAGATCCCCTCTGTCCCCAGAGACCTCTGTCCTGTGAAGTTTCCTCTAGTCTTCCATCAGGACTGGGCTTGCTTCCTCCAGAAGCAGCTGGGAGGGCAGCCCCAGTGACACCTAGAGGCTGGGGGCTCCGAGGCTGGGGCTGAGGGCAGGCCTCTGCCATGGGCTGGGGCTGAACCCCCCCTCACCTCTGCTTGCTCAGCCTGAAGGGCCATGTGGGCCTGGCCGGCAGGGGACACACTGGCCTGGGCATCAGGCTCCCACAGGGACCTGGCTCCTCAGCCTCCTGCCCCTGTGGTCCAGGCAGCTCACCCTTCACTCTAAAGGTTGCTAGCAGGGCTGGGGGAGGCCTTGGCTGGGCCCTGCGGGGCCCAGGAGAGCCCGGACGCCTCAGTTAGGAGGGGTGTCTTCCCTCCTCACACCCTCCGTGGGGCTGAGCCTGGGCTTCACCTCCACCTTGTTCCAGCTCCTCCCACCTCTCCACCCCCTCCTGTGTCTCTTGGTCCTTGGCTCTTCTTCCCTGGGTCTGTGTCCTCCTCCTGCCTCTGTCTCTCGCTGTCCTCTCTGTCTCTCCCTGTCATCTGTCTCTCGCTGTCCTCTCTGTCTCTCTCTGTCATCTCTGTCTCTCGCTGTCATCTCTGTCTCTCGCTGTCATCTCTGTCTCTCGCTGTCCTCTCTGTCTCTCGCTGTCATCTCTGTCTCTCGCTGTCATCCCTGTCTCTCGCTGTCCTCTCTGTCTCTCGCTGTTCTCTCTGTCTCTCGCTGTCATCCCTGTCTCTCGCTGTCCTCTCTCTCTGTCATCTCTGTCTCTCGCTGTCCTCTCTGTCTCTCGCTGTCATCTCTGTCTCTCGCTGTCATCCCTGTCCCCCTAGTCGATCTCTGTCTCTCGCTGTCCTCTCTGTCTCTCGCTGACAT